TCTATTTTCGGAAAGGTTGGCTAACCCGTCAAATATCAGGAGAGAGCAATCTAAATTTTAGAATCTTATCTATAAACCTAATCTGTGTTCTTCCATCAAGTTGACAGCCCAATCCCAGATGTCAGGCATTGCAATAAGAACCAGTAGATCAATCAGAAACCTCTTAAATCACAGCAAGAATAGTTTGTCAAGCCTCATAACCAGAAATTACGGAGCATGTCTGTCATCACGACCTCACCTTCACAAACCCTTACGTTCACATCGCTATGCAATCACATCAACGGAACTGAAGTCACAGCGATGGGCTTCACACATCAAGAATAGTAACCCGAACTTGCAGAACCTGGAAGATGTTGCAAAGTATATACGAGATGAAGCGCGTTGCATCATGGTCATGGTAGGGGCGGGGATGAGCACGCCCTCAGGGATCCCGGATTTCAGGTTCGGATGCTGGGATTTGGTTTTTTTTTTTAATGTGAATTACTTCCAGGAGCAGATATTTTCTAAATGAATTAATTAGAACGATCAGCGTTGCTATGTCTGCGCGCTTTAAATTATTTTTTGTATTGTTTTTACAGGTTGAGTTTAGGATTCATTCTTGTGTAACAGGATTCGGTTTCAGATACAGAGGTTTTGATTTTTAAAAATAGATGCTTTGTAATTTGATCATTTTGTGTGTGATTGATTTTAGGTATAGAGATCTTGTAATGTGATATTTTAGCCTATAAGATTTAAACTCAGACTTTGATATCTTGTATTACGATTCTATATCAGGGTCAAATTTTGTGAAGCAGGTTTATTCAGATTTTACATTTCGATCTTAGGATAAGAATAGAATAGAATTCCAAATGCAATTGTATCTGTAACTATTGATCATTTTTCTTAGATAATGGATAGTTCTTTCATTCTGTATACTCAGCAAAGTAATGGCAGTTTTTCATTGATATAATCACTTGACTTAAGACTTTGCTTTACATAATTTAAGGCAATGTAATGGTGATCATAATTATCATATACAAAGTTAAAGAAAATGTTAAAAGTATCATATTTTTATAGTGTTAATCATCATGTGATAAATCTTGGCAAAAACTGCAAGCTAGTATCTTCATTCACTGACATTTAAATTATTTTCCAGATCTCCAGGGACAGGGCTCTACGACAACTTACAGAAGTTCAATTTACCGTATCCGGAAGCAATCTTTGATATACACTATTTCATGATGGATCAAAGACCCTTCCTTACTCTTGGTGAGCTGTGCATTAGAGAGAGAATTTTGTATTTTGTGTAGATATAAATCACTGATTGATTTTATTGAAATGCTGTAAAGATGCAAAGTTTCTGCCGTAGACTTTGTATTATTGGAATAAATCTTTATCTTTAACAAATGAAACTTTATGCTGTGACATATAAACTGACATATTTGCTAGGGTTACAGTAATGTGCAGAAAGGGAAGAATTTGTCACTAAATTTTTCTCTTTATTGCTCTCCTAGCACAAGATCTATATCCAGGACAAAATTACAAGCCAAACATTGCTCATCACTTCCTTCGCCTTTTACATGATGAGGGGAAGCTACTGAAGGTCTATACACAGAATATTGATGGATTAGAGAGGTGTAAGTGTCAGCCATAATGTATTTTGCTATTAAGTAATTTTTTAAATTTTTTGTATTTTTTTTATTACAGCCTGTTGAGAAATGTAATAAAAATTTTTCTTTCTTTGTAAGAGAAAAGCTCTACTGATATTATGTGTAGTTCAGAATGAACATAATGAAATGGGAAACTTTGTAAGTAATTTCTGGTTGATGTTACAGGCATTTGCTTGTCTCAGACATTATTAAGTTTACAGCTGATTATAATTAACTTTTATGAAAGAAAAACATTAGATTGAGTTGAGAATCTCAAACCAAAATTAAAGTCGAGCTGTAAAGGACTCGCTTATATTTTGGCGTGTCCTGGAGAGGAAATAGTTCAGTTCAACATTGGATTAAAATGTGATATTTTCCTATCTCACAATGCAGATTTTTAAGGTTGAATTCCTAAAATTCAATTCATTGTTTAGTGCTATTTTATACTCTTTGAGGGTTAACAGTATTGATATATCATCTTTTATAAATCTAGTTGTGCATTGTGGGTTTTTCTACAAAAGTTTATGAATGTACAAACAAAGTGACTGAAAATATAATTATCAGCTGCAGTAGTTGTAGCAGGAGGAGGTAAATAGTAGAAGTTTGGATCAGTTCTGAGGAGGGAACTTGTAGATAAGGAGTTGCAGAGCTGAGAAGTTCGAGAAGAGGTGCTCATGCATGCGAGGAGGGTGGAAAATAGTAGAGTATAGATATAGATATAAGTATAGAGTATAGAGGATTTTGATTGAAGCAGTTGTCTCATCTTTTATAAATCTAGTTGTGCATTGTGAGTTTTTCTACCAAAGTTTATGAATATACAAACAAAGTGACTGAAAAATGTACTAATCAGCTGCAATAGTTGTAGCAGGAGAAGGTAAATGGTAGAAGTTGGATCATTTCCGAAAAGGGAACTTGTAGATAAGGAGTTGCAGAGCTGAGAAGTTAGAGATGAGGTGCAGACGCGAGGATGGAAAACAGTGGAGTACTGCATAAAGTTATTAATATGGAGACAGTAGGCTGTAGGCAACTAACCACAAATGAAACCTTATTAAATTATGTTGAGAAAGATCTGATGAGAGAATCTGGTATGGGAGAAAAAAATGCTATGGACTAAGATTTGGAAAAAGTATGATCAGATGTCCAACCACATGAAAAAGAAACAAACATGCTGAAAGAAAAGGTAATTAAAAGTCTCTAGATCAGATTGTAATATTTAGTAATATTTCACTTTGTATCAAATGTGACCAGATTTTTTAGAACACAAATGCTTTTCTTGAAGTGATGGTATGCTTAACATTTTAGTTACATATAGTTTTTACATTATATTCACTCCTATTGTATCGCATTATTTTATAGTTATACAAAGATATTATATCGGTTTATCCCTTCTCCAGTGGCTGGGGTACCAGATGAGAAGCTTATGGAGGCCCACGGCAGCTTTTCCACAGCCTCTTGTACTCTCTGTGGTAAAAGACATGATGGAGACATGGTGAAGGAAGCTATAGTTACTGGAAAAGGACCTGTTCTGTGTGAGTCCCAGAAGTGCAAAGTGAGTTAAAAGGAAGTTTATGCATCTGTGTGTATTTTGTGAAATTATTTGTCTTGGAAAAAAATAGTTAGATATGGTTAACTACAGTTAAAAAAAGTGGATGCAAAGAGAAATGTACACAGTATAGTTTAGATTTTAATGAGCTAAAGTACTCTACATTTTCTTTTTTTTGCCATATGTGAAATAATGTATATTTTTGTTATGAGGGGCAAATAAGAGTTGACAGTAAAGAAGGTCACATCAGTAATAACATTAAAACAGCAAGTAGGCCATTAGAAATGAGACAATCAGGTACAGAGCTCTCCTCTGGGTCAGTCCATTCAAACAGTATCTCTTCCTCCACAGGGTAAAGTCAAGCCAGACATTGTGTTCTTTGGGGAGAACCTTCCACATACTTTCTGGAATTACCATGAAGAGGTCCACTTTACAGACCTCCTTCTTGTCATTGGCACATCTTTAGAGGTGAGTATTTGACCATTTTTCTTTCCTTGGGCTTGATTTATGCTGGAGATGTCTTCTTTTTTGGTCTCAGAACGACTTTTTTTTTCTTTTTGTGATATAGTTTCTGTATCATTTATTTTTAATTTATAATTATTGTTTTGATGATTTAAGGTATTACTTCCCATTGATAAATTGCATTTATAGGGAAAAGCATTACTGTCTAGAATTTCAGATAGTTTTGTTGATAAATTTATTGATTTTCTGGAGGAACTAGCTAATATTTTTTGGTAACTGCTTTATGGTGTAATACTTCCTTAGTGTTTTAATTGGGTGAAAACTTACATAGATCTTCACTTGTGTCCTGAAAAAGAGTCTCACATTAAACTAGAAATATAGTAGTAATTGAAGAAAAGATCTTTTACAAAATGGAATATGACATTTAATTTGCTGGTACCAAAGTTTTATATTCACTGTATTTATACGAAACCTACAGTATAATTTATAAAACTTCTAATTATTCTTTGACTGAAAAAATACATATATGTATTGGCACAAATTCTAGGACTCACTAGGAAAATATCAAATAATTCTATATAGGTGAAAAAATATACCACGAAAACAAGTCACACATCCAGAAATACTTTTATTCCATTTTGTCATATTAACCAAAATCTGATTTTCAGGTATACCCCTTTGCTGGGATCGCAGACGCAGTTGGCAGATTCACCCCGAGAGTGCTGATCAACCGTGATGTAGTGGGGAGTTTTGGAAGCAGAATGGGGGACGTTATTCTGGACGGTGACCTGGTTGAGGGGATATGGAATTTGGCCAAAGAAATTGGGTGGAGCGAAAAATTGGCGAATCTTGAAAAGGCATATGATAGGGAAAGGGAAGAATGAAAGGGAGAGTAGATGATAATTTTTTTCTTCTTCTTCTTCTTCTTCTTCTTCTTCTTCTTCTTCTTCTTCCTTTTTTTTCTTCTTCCTTTTTTTTCTTTCTTTCTCTTTTTCTTTCTCTTGGAGTGAAAAATTTTATCTCCATTCTTTTCGCATTTCTTTTTTCTCTTCCTTTTTTCTTCATTTCTTGTACTTCTATCCTTTTTTTTTTTTTTTTACTTTCCCCTTCTCTCTGCCAGTTTCTTAACACATCTTTCTCTTTTCCTCTTTCCTTCCATTTTCTCACACATTCTATAATTCTTTCCCTTAACTTCCATTTTCTATAATTCATTCTCTACATAATGTATTATCTCATTCAAGACCCAGACACCTGAGACATGGGAAATGTGAAAAATTGTTTATAGATATATGTTTATAGATATATATATATATATATAATTGTTTATAGATATATAGATTTATATATATATGTTTATAGATATATTT